TTGGGTGGCTGGGGGCCATGTGGTGGTCTGGGTGTTGGGTGGGCGGTGGTCTGCGGGGCTGAGATCCCGAGGGACCAGGTGCACGTCACAGTGGCCAACGGTCGCTTGTCCCGCAGCTTGTACTCCTGAAATTATATTTTGCTTTTTGTAGTTCTTACAGGATCCTGATGAAGAAATTGCTAAAATGGAGATGACTAGAAAAAAGCAATATGAAAACCAGGTAACCGATTTGGCTTTAGGTCATACTCCTGTAATCTTACTTAACCCTATTATTATTTTGCAGTACTTCATTATTATTGCGAACATGGTACAGCAGAGATACAGCTACCAGATGCTGTATAGCAATGGGCGAGGGGGACTATCAACCCTGGCTGAGAAGAGTGCAAAACGCTTCAAGTCATACAGGTTGCTTTGGAATCTTTGCAAGAGATGAGGCGTGTGTTGGTCTAAAACATTATGTTAATAATTCAGTATATCCAACTGTCCCGGGATTACAAGGGTGCACCTTACGAAAGCCTTAATACGCATTTAGGCCTATATGGAGGGACTCTGCGTTGACTTCTCTAGAGAGTTGCGAGAGTGCAGTCATGTGCTTATGTGCTGTACCTTGCAGGCCAAAGCATGAGACACTTAAGCATACGAACAGAATCATCTTTTAAGATTATTCTCTTTGCAGTTATGTCTCTCCTTACGTATCACCTGGGAGAGAGGAAGGATCCCCCATTCCTTCCACCATCAGCTCCATTCCTATTGACAAATATCATTATCAGACTGACAGAGTACGAGGTTCCTGATTAGAACTTTGAAGTTTATACTAGATGCTAATGCGGTGGTAAAATAGGCTTCATTTCTCTGCAGAACAAAGGGATAGTTTCTGTAAAGTCACTTAGCTGTGGAAATCAAGCCTGCAGTGGAGGTTAGTAGTGACCATTGCCAGTTTCCTCAGTAAGACATTTGGAATGATCCGAGTTACGAAGTCAAAACTAACTTTAGTAATGTCCTTGCTCCCTTGGTGTCCTTCCTATAATCTTTGAACCTGAGATGCTATTGGTGTCTATATTGGATGCTATGTTGGTAGATGGTATTGAAAGCATGATGCTTTTGTACGTTGAGATGCCCACTCTAAATAAAACAGAGTAGCCTGTTTTCTGAAATAGGTTTATTCCCCCCCCGCCTTTTTTTTTTTCTGCACGCACACGTGCTTGTTCAGTCACTGCCACTAGGACTTCAGCCTGTTAATGCACATGCAGGGTGATACTTCAGCTGCAAAAGTCATGATCAGGGAGTACAGACCGTTCTCATTTGGTACGCAAGGCTATGCATAATGTGGCACATCTAACCAGAAGTGGCAGCTGGAAGTTCCAAGACTAAAGTGCTACCATAACAGATGGGCATCATTGTTTGGAATGGCCTCTGCTTGTTGCAACTGCGTATACTAGTTATCAGTCAACATATTAAGCAGGGCTCAAATGGTGAGCATTTAATGAGGGGATCTCTCCTTCCCTTCTGTCTTTCTTTTGTGCAGTATATTAAACTAATTTCTCACTTCTGACAAGGAAGAGCTGCCTGTCCTTCACCACAGCTCTCTCCTTCACCAAAAGATTCATCCTGTTTGAGCTGAACAAGGGCTTCCTGTGCACGTTTATTGCATAATAGTAAGGTATTATTAAAAAACCCTCAACAGGGACCCAATTTTACCTTCTTCCAGAAAGACAGTGGAAAGAAACTTGAAATATATTTTGCATACATTGACCTTCAACTTTGAAAGTAGATAAAGACTTCCAATTTTTTGTTCTTGTTTGTGTTCCTGGCCTGGTAGCCATTCAATGTTACTTCAGGAATGATAGGTAAATTAAAATTTAGATAATTTAGGCAGTAGGCATCCAAAATATTTACTTGGGAATTTTTCAAGTTACGCTTAGGATACTGGTGGGATTTGGCCCTTTGATTCTGTAAACCATAAATAAAACGGGTACCTGTGTAGCTGTCCGTACATAGAGAAGGTTATTTGTTGTGACAAAGTAGCCAGATTGTTACAGATCTGTTTAAAAAAGCTAACATTTGGCTGCACAGCAGCAGCTCTTCAGTCTATGGTGTGACACAAGCTATTCTCTGATATAAATTGCCACAGGCCACTAATGAGAATACGTTTACGGTTCCAGCAGCAGTATAGCAGGCTTGTATGATAGCCAGTGAGATAGTTATTCTGTTGAGGCACAACAATTCTAAAATGCAAGTAGCTATAAATCCACTGCAGCCTATACCACATGACTTCTACATTAAATAAATTGTTTACTGACACTAGTTTATGCACAAGGCAAAATATCATAGTCACATCCCACTTTACAGCATCTTCATAGTCAATTCATTAGTTTGCTTCTGTTGAACATAAGGCCTGAGTTCTTAATTAGGATGCTGTTACCCTTTATGTGATGAAAGGGTGACTATATCATCAGGTTTGTGACAGCAGAATATTGCATAAATTCTGTGTTTGATTTTTAGAGAACTGGCACTGCTGTAATTCTGCTAGCAATTCTCATATTAATTCT